GAATTCATTGCTCTTTGATACGTTGCCCCAGCATTATTTGAACCAAAAGGAATCACTACCCATTCGTAAGTGCCTAAGGCCCCAAGACATCGAAATACTGTCTTTGGGACATCTTCTTCAGCAACAACGTTTTTACATTTCAATGCAATTCAATAAGTTTTTTCATTAAGAATTTATATTTTCCTTGCGCAAGTTACTTTCTACATTTTTTACCAGTCTTTCGACTTTAATCTCTTGTGTTCAATTCCATTTACATTTTTGAAATAAGTTATTTTTATCATGAACTCTGTCGAAGTGTTCATTGTTTTTCCAAAGTTTGTTTAAGATCAACTAGCACATGTCCTAGGATTTGTGTGGTCGCTCCTGCGAGTAAAATAAATCTTCGTTGAAAACTTCATTCCCTCCTTTATTTGAATTCAAATCTTCCTGTCGAAATGCCTTCAGTAGCACCTCTGCCAAATCACATTTCCCAATTGTTAGGAAATATTTCTAAGTCCATAAAATAGTTCCTCCTTGCAAAGGGACGCCTTCGACTCACACTCCAAAAATGTAGTTCTGGTCGAAGTCATCTGATTTCTTCAGAAACTCTATTACTTCCTTTTAATCTAATTCAGGCGTCAAAATTTAGAGCCAACAGTTGCATCATATGAAACTGCTCCATTTGTGCAACTTCAAAAGTGTCCCTCCATTTACACTCCTCTGCATACCTCTCGTCTGGATTCATTTTCATTTCCAAACATGTTTATATGCAACCTAAAGTTAAAATGAACAATGCACATCTAGAAATCGGTTAATACCATCCCATGTACAAAAATGCTAAAGTTTCTCCTAGTTTTGACCTCATTCAAAACATAACTAAATGGAAGGATGCACTTACAATGTTCTTTTATGAACTCAGACCTTTTCTCCATGTTATTGTCTTCCCCTTTGACATAACACTCCTCTCTGCTCATGACCTCCTTCATGCTAGTGGCCAACTTTTATGCTAACGAATCATTGGAGTGGCCGGCTTTCAGTCCATTTTGAAATGCTCATACGAACATATCCTGATTTGGATGGGAGACTTTTAAGGTTTCTTTGTTGAATCTCATCATATATTCTCGGAGGGACTCGGAAGGCCCCTGGAGGAAATTTAACAAGTTGGTGGTCGTCACCTTTCTATTTTTGCTAGCGGAGAAATGTTGTACCATTTTTTGGTTAGGTCTTGGTAGCTGGTAATTGATAGTCTAGGCAGACTCATGTACTAATGTAGTGCCACATCTTTGAATTTTCACGCCATGAGTTTACATTTAAAGGAGTCGAAAGCTCCGACTATTTACTTCTGATTGTAGATTAATATTATGTGTTCCTGGGGATCACTTTTTCCATTGAATGATAGCGGTTTAAAATTTTCTAGGACTTGATCACTCGAAATCATTTCTAATAGAGGTTGAGGATGACAGAGTTCTTCCTCCTTTTCCCCCTCCTTAGTACTTTGTGACTATTGCAATGTATGGACACTTTCTTGTAGAGACTCATTATGTTGGTGCAGGTTCTCCATAATTTCTAGGAGTTGTGCCATGTCCGGAGGAGTTTGTGGTTCACTCCTGCTAGGAGATGATCCTAACATCACTTTGCTGTGATGAAATGTATGGTTTTTTGCGAGGCATGGGAAAGTTTTACCGAGGCCCCATGGTGGGCGCCAAATGTTCCTACTAAACACTATTTGGAGAAATCTCCCTGAAGCTAGCCATGTGAGATCATAATCTTCCTATTTGTTATGAGGTATTCGTTGTTGTCATATTTCCTTGTTGGGAAGTCTCCTTTTATAATCATTCCACCATTAATGGATTTTTCCATAATTATCAAGTAACATTCCTTCCATCAATATTCATAAATCCTATACAATCATGAAGACGTTTCGTAACCGTTCTTTGTAACCATTCATGTTTCTCCCTAGCACCTTTCAAGAGATCATACATAAGTACTCTTCTGCTAGAATTACCATGAGACCGCATCTGACTTGCTTAGGGTCATGTTATCCGACTTACTTTCTCTTTGTACTTGGCTTGTAAAACCTCGAGTCTTGAGAATTCTAGGATGTACACACCTACTTCCCCTATAACCCAAACTTCACCCATTCCCATCAACACTCCCAATCCTACTCCTTCCACAACTACTACTACTACACCCCTACAACCAACCCACCACTATTAAAGAAATCTACCAGTGCTTCTAAGCCTCCAACATACCTTTAGAATTACCATTGTTCCCTCATCATATGTACTATTATATCTCATTCTCCAACTATAAATATTCCTCTTTACCACATCTATAACTACGTTTCTTATCATAAATTAACTTCCAATGATAAATGTTTTAACTAATTTATCTCCGTTATCGTTGAAATCACATCCTACAATGTTGCCATAACTAATACTAATTGGAAAAAATGTTATAGACATATAATTAAAAGCCATACCTAATAACAATACTTTGGAGTTAATTATCATTCCTTCCAATAAGAAAGCTATAGGTTGTAAGTGTACTTTTAAACTTAAGTACTTAGCCAATGGTACCAATGATAGGTGCAAGTCACACTTAATTGCCAAAGATTTCACCCAAATAGAAGGCTTAGATTATCATGAAACCTTTTGTCTTATTCTTAAGATGACCACCTTGAGATCACTTTTTTTCCTTGCTTCACCTAAAGGCTGGTTCTTACATCAAATGGATATAAATACAACTTTTCTCTATGGAGACTTGGATGACGAGGTTTACAAGAAACTTCCTCTAGGTCTCCACCCAAAAATTAACAGCCTAATTTGCAAACTTAAAAAAAAATCCTTTTATGGCCTAAAACAAACCAGCAGATAATGGAACAACAAACTTACCACCACCATCCTAGACCTTGGTTTCATTAAATATAAGCTTGACTACTCCTTATTCATAAAAAAGTTAATAACTCTTTTATTATTATTCTGATTTGTGGATGGCTTAATTCTTGATGGTATAGATCTATCTATTTTCATCCATGACAAAAATGTCTTAGATCACTAATTTAATATAAATGATTTATGTGATCAAAAATATTTTTTTAATTTTGAGATAGCTAGGTCATCCAAAGGCATAAATCTAGGGAAGTGTAAATAATGTCTCGATCTTTTACAAGATATCGATTTACTGGCTGCAAAGCCATCTTCAACACTAATGAATCTTTCACAAATATACACGCTCATCTAGAAAATTTTCTACCCAACCCTATTCCCTTCGGAAAGTTAATTGATAAACTCATTTACCTTACCCATTATAGACCTGATATTACTTTTTCTGTATGTAGGTTAAGCCACTTCCTGTCAAAGTCAACCACCACACATTTTTAATCTGTGCTTCGGATGGTTAAGTACCTCAAGACTTCTTCAGCTACTAAACTCTTATTTCTGGCCTCTTCCAACATTAGATTAACAAGCTTTGCTGATTCAAACAAGGGATCATACCCTCTTACTCGTGGATCAATAACCAACTTTAGTTTCTTCCTAGGTTCATCCACCATAAGTTGACCATGGAGAAAACAGCAAATGATTTCATGTTCTTCTTCTGAAGCCGATTATAAAGCTTTGGCCAACACCTCATGTGAACCCTAATAAATTTTGTTTTTGATGTTCTATACAACAAACTGGTAACTATTTTTTGACAACCAAAATGTTATACACATTACAATCTGATACTTCATGAGTATACGAAGCACATTGAAATGGATTGCCACTTAATTTATGACCAAGATCAATAAAAAAATCATCTAATTTCAACCTATTAACTCGGCCAACCAACTTGTGAATATCTTCGATAAATCATTACATTCAAATCATTTCGGTAGTCTTATATCAAAGCTTGGTCTATATTCCATACATTCAAGTTTAGGTTATTTTAATTTTTACTTTTTAATTAGTTATTGAGCTTGAAATATTAACTAGCCATCCCTTAGGGTACTTTTAGCTAGTTAGTTACTTTTACCCCATGAAGGTTAATGTAACAATCTGATTTAGATTTTATGTTACATTCTTCTTTAGTCACATGTGTTATACAAAATATACAGAAAATCTGCACATCTTATCACATGTGTTTAATAACAATTCTTAAGATAAATACTCATATAGGCACAAACCAAAATGAAATTTAGTTAGACACACTCATAAAATATATATTATCAATTGTTTTAAAAATATATAATATTTAACTCTTTTTTTTTTCATATATGAGTGTGTGCCTGAATAAATTCTATTTAAGCCTATCTCCAAGCAAGTGTTTCTCCATTCCCTAAAACACCTAGAGTTTCATATATTATATAGAATTATTGCACAGAGAAAACAATAATGCAAGGCCATTGACTTTTTCCATTAAAAAGTATAAAAAGTAAGTTGAATTCGTGTACATTGCAAGCAAAAGCAACTCATGATGCATAGCACTTTCCAAACTCATTTTTATAATCCTTAAAATAACATGTTCATGTTAACAACTCCTCACATCTTCTCCATCTTCATAAGTTGTTGAAAACCCACTTTTCCAACCATAGTTTCTCTCCTCCACCTTCAACCACGTTTTTGCTTTTCTCTTTTCCTATAATCTCTCCATCTTCGAAACTAGATCACAAGCTTTCTCCGATTCTATTCCAACCTTAACAACAACAACAACATCATCATGCAACTTTGATCCAAACTCTAAATCTTCATATATATATGTTCAATTTCCTCAGCACTTCTTTCTAGCCAACTCTACAAACCTGGGTCCTTCTTTTCCTTCCATTCCTTAGAAACAAATTTATAAAAACCAACCAATTATGTAACTGTACCCTTTTCAACCTTAAATCTCCAACAACAACAAAAAAACCAAAAAAAAAAATTGTTTTCTTACATTTGGAAAATTATGTAGTGCTGTTATTTTCACCAATCTCTATCCAGCTATCTTTTTCTTGTTTTTTTTTTTAGTTTTTAAATTTCAATTATCCAAAACAAAAAAAAAGAATGATGGAATCGGAGACAGGAACACCAACCGCGGCGTCAGTGCCGCCGACACCGGAAACACCGGGAGGGCCATTATTCTCGTCGGTGAGAATTGATTCACTTGAACGCGAGTCTTTTGCAATGGGGAGGTGCAACATGTGTATGCCGGGTGCTAAAAGCAATGGTTGCATCGGTGTTCGAATTCCAAGTATCTCTCTCACTCAGAAGGTAACATCACTCTCTTTTGGTCAACGAGTTTTGTTCATTTTTTTTTCTCATGCCACCGCCCATAGATTAATTCGATTTGATTTATTTAACTGCTTCATGTGAGTTAATATTTATTAAGAAAAGAAACAGTAAACCTTGACAAATATTTAATAGATAACATTTTATATAGTAGTAATATAGTTTTATTAACAGTTGGACATTGCCAAAAATAATTTGGTTGTATTTGATGATTTTTGAGAGTTTGTTTGATTGTATTATGATGTGATGAGATATGCATGATTGGGATATCATCATCAAAATAATGCAAAATATGTGTAGTAGTATTCTTTACACGCGTTGTACTATGTTTTTTGGACTCTCTAATATCGTCTATACTCTTCGGTGTCTTTTTGTACATATTAAATAATTAGGTAATATATTTATTTTAAAATTCTACTCCTTTTGGTTTTTAGACGGTTACCCTTTTAAATTATAATATAAATAAATAGTTAAATGTAATAATATGAGAAGGTGAGCAAAATTCTTTGATTTTAAAATAAAATGACTAACTTTACTAAAAATATTTCATTTAAAATATGACGAATACTTTCATTGAAAAATATCAGATGAAGTAGCCCAAACAAGGGCTTTAGACTCCAAAATTGACCTTAAAATTTCAGACTAAATTTTTTTTTAGAAAGTTAAATTATATTTTAAAAATTTTCTGAATATATTTTAAAAATGACTTTAGAGCTCTTACAGATTTGGCCGGGCTATGCTGCTTAATAGCATCTATATTTCCCATTTAATGAGCGAGTTTAATCCTAAATAAATTTATATAATAATAGTATGCAAATTTCTAATATAAGTTAAAACTCTTATTAATTTTAGTGATTAAATATTTTTCATTCATCAAAATAAATTATCCATTTATTTATTATGACTAAGATTAAGTGTGCTATTTTTGCATGATACTATCTCTATTTTTAAAAATCTAAGTTCGACAAGATATCTATCAAGAATGCGATTGTGTTAAAAAAATCACTACTTACTTTAAGCTCACTTAAAATGTTAAAGTAATGTTGACAAAAAAAAATTAATATAAAATTGAAATGTTCTATACCTATTTTTATTGCATTATCTTTATTTTGATAATTCCTCTCATATTATTATAAGTCACTTTAAAGGGGGCAAAAAAATTGTCTTGTTTCATGTCACTTAAATTGTTTTTATTTTCATATATTAATTTCTATAAAGAAGACATATATTGTTATTAATATATTTCATTTATAGATATTTTTAAAACATGATTAGATACATGATAAATATAATTAGCACCACAATTACGAGATATTATCTATCTTAAATGTGAAAATATGTTAGTGTTTTGTTCTTTAAAAAAATATCTCTTAGTTGAGTTGATATATTATATATAAATTATCTTTAATATAATGTAAAATCATTTTAAAGTAACGGAACAATAATGATATTTATGATTTAATAGATCACAACTTATTGATTAAAAGTTATCCACATGAGATTTTTTTTTATTTCTATGATTTTAAATTTAATTTACTATATTCTTCATAGTTTCATTTATAATTTACTAATATTTGTATATTATCCACTCTAATATGATAACCAACATGCCATCCAATAGAATGCGTCACTATTTTGTTGGCTATGTATAATTTATTTGTTTAACTGTGCTAGAACTATTCTTGAAATGCATTCCTTATTTTAAAATATATTTAAATTTATTGTTGTGAGCAGAGTTATCTTAAGTCTTCACTCATTTCAATATAAATTTGTCGGCCTGAATATTATAAATTGAGCTATGTATAATATAATAAAAAATACAAAGATGCTTATGACTTATGAGTACATAGGATTTTTTATTTAACCAAATATATAAAAATATAAATTAATTAAAGCATTGCAGCACATTATGCTCTTTAGTTACTTCAATTGATAATAGTGTTGGAACATTCTATTGCATAAATTGAGCTTCCAACATGTAACATCTCATTAATAACATTTCTAAAGGTTATTTTCATAAAAAATCAACCTCACATAGTTTATATTAAGCGACAATCCTCACATTTAAAATTGATTTTGTAGGATTGAGTTAGATTCAATTAAGATTCTTTCCATTTTATTAGAGTTGGGATTAATATCGAGCCACCGACGATTTTTTCTACGTTTCAAATGTTCAGTACTGAGTGTGAGTATGTGTGTAGAAAAAACACTATGAGATATTGATCCAATCAGCAACTGGCATCAAATCCAATAGTTCTAAGATGGAACTCACGTTTTGTAGGGTTGAGTATAGAACGGAATGTTCTAAATGTAGATTTTTAATTTGTATATTTTCAGAAAATTCATACTAATCTGTATAGTTCTTCTTTTCACAGATTGGAGCAGAGTTTGTAGGAACATTCATACTGATATATGCTGCAACAGCAGGACCAATAGTGAACAACAAATACAATGGAGCCGAAACACTTATGGGAAATGCAGCTTGTGCTGGTTTAACAGTCATGGCAATTATTCTCTCAATCGGCCATATCTCTGGTGCACATCTCAATCCATCACTCACCATTGCGTTCGCAGCGTTTCGCCATTTTCCGTGGGCACATGTTCCCGCCTACATTGCAGCACAAGTCTCTGCATCCATCTGCGCTTGCTATGCTCTCAAAGTTGTTTATCACCCTTTCCTCTCGGGTGGTGTCACTGTCCCTACTGTTAGTATTGGACAAGCTTTTGCAACTGAGTTTATCATCACTTTTATCCTCTTGTTCGTTGTCACTGCTGTCGCTACTGATACTCGCGCGGTACCTCCGTTCATTCATTCGTAATTTCTAGATTATAGTCTGCAATTCTTGATTATCAAATTAAGTTAATTGATTTGTTTTGATTTATGGATTTTATTTTGGTATATGTAACGCAGGTTGGTGAATTGGCTGGCATTGCTGTTGGAGCAACAGTTGTAGTCAACATTCTGATCTCAGGGTATGGAATCATTTCTATCACATTATTGATTTGAATTCTTTGTTTTCATAGGTTGATTCTAAGTATAATATAACAAATGATAGGCCAACGAGTAATGGTTCGATGAATCCAGTTCGCACCTTAGGTCCAGCCGTTGCAGCAGGAAACTACAAACATATCTGGATATATTTGGTGGCGCCGACGCTTGGTGCGCTTGCTGGTTCTGGAGTTTACACGCTTGTCAAGCTGCGTGACAACGAAGGTGAAACGGTGCGACCAGTTAGAAGCTTCCGTCGTTAGATCTGTCTGCGACATTTCTATCTATCCCCACTGCCCATGTTTCAAGCTTCCTGTATAATAGTATATAGTTGAATTAAATAAAAAGTGGGGATCTCTATGATTGTGTGAGTGTGAATTTGTGTGTTTTTTGTTTGTGTTATATCATGTGGCATTGAAGGTTTGTTTGATTGATGTGGATTTTCTAAGGGGCTAGTTATAGCCATGATTTGTATTATGATTGATGCAGCTTATAATGAATAATGTGTTTTGTTGTGTGTAACATTCTTTTTCTTTTGCCTTGCTAGTATTTATTTCTTGAAACTGATATATCATGTGGTATATAGTTCAAGACTATTGTAGGAAATATAAATGTCACAAAATACAAAGCCTTATCTAATTCTGATTAACTTAGCAAGGAAATCATGGCACATTCGAAGCAGATCACTTGTATAATCGATTCTGGTAGAGCGAACACAATCTGGTTCGCCTGCATTTGGAATGCCCGGAAGACAAGAAACGGTAAATTATTTTGCAATAAGGAAGTGTGCTTAATTACTTTTTGGAATTATGATTGAAAACTAAATCAAGTAAAATCATCTGTAACATAGCTATGTTGTGGCGAAATCCATCAGCATGCCATGAGTTGGATCCTTTTTCTTCTTGAGTTTCTTTGTCTTAGAGGCTGACGTTCTTCTTTCCACAGAAGCTCCAGCAGATGAATCAGACTGTGACTTTACTCCTTCAGAATTCTTGAACCTATCATCTTTGTACTTCTTTCTCTGAACATCATTGGACTTCATAATAGCCTTGCCAGCCTCTTAGGAAGAGCCCTCCTTAAAGTTCTTGGACTATTTGCTCATATTATCTGTTTTGAGAAGAACTAGATTGAAATAACGATGAATGTGACTTTGGTGGTAATGGAACACAACCTATATAGAGTTTGGCGAAAAGCAAAATCAGTGTTGTTTATTATGCACTGATGGACATAGAAGAGAGATATATTCTTGATCTTCAAGCATCTTTTTCAAGCTTTGACTGCTTTGATTTCTCTCAAATGCTCAATTATCAGAACCAACTTTGACCATCTCAAGAATTGAAGAAATTGTTCACAACCATTCTAGCCATATTTTAACCAACTTTTTCTTATTATACTTTCAAATTATTTCTATTCTTTGAAGTCAAATCAGGGGAGAAACAAACATGATTTTGATTCATTTTTATTCAGATTTGACAAAATCCAAAATATTGAAATTTGTGGATTAGTTTTTAGGTATTTTCTTGAGTTTATAACATTTTTTCTTCAGTATCTTTTTTATTTTCTTTATGTTTGTTGATGACAAAAGAGGGAGTAGATATAAAAGTATTTAAACACTTGAATTTCACAGCTCTTATTTATGTTTAAATTCTGAAGATTTATTACTTATGATTTAAAGTTTGTTGTGAAAAACAATGTCTTGAAACAAAGTATAAACGGTTTCTTTATGATCAAGAAACATGCAAGGGTTAGGGTTAACAGAAAAATAAGAAGAAGAACATCAATGATTGATTATAACTGTTATTCTTTACTTTCTCTTTAAATCAGATTACAAGTACTCAAGTATAACAAATAACCCTCTCACCCTAATTAGAATTTGTCACACTTAAGATGAAAGACTAGTATGCTATTTATAATAAAACTTAACATACTAAACTAATGGGCTTTTAAATAATTACCTATTACGAGATAACTTAGGGTACAACCTAACTTAAACAATTGGATATAACAAACAAGTCCAATTCGACAACTACATACTATAACACAATTCGACTACAGCATGTAGGTCTTCGATAATAGCACGTGAGCAGACTTCGACGACATGCTAAACTAGAGTTTGATCCAATATCTCACAAATCTCCGTCTTGGATCTAACTCTATAATACCAAGAAACAAACTAGTTTTCTTCATGCAGCTTTATCAATTGCATACAATGAAAAAATTTACAACTGGGTAATGTCTTGGTGATCATATCAACAGTATTATGATATGTCGAAACCTTCAGCAGTTGGACTTCTCCACGCTCGATTATCCCTCTAACGAAATACAACCTCACATCAATGTGCTTGATTCGCTTATGATATTCTGAATTCTTCGACATGTGTATTGCACTTTGACTATCACATTTAACAGTGATACTTCGACCTCGAAGTTTCAGCTACTTTGCAAAACCTTCAAGCCACAATGCTTCTTTCACAGCTTCAGTGAGGGAAATATATTATGCTTCAGTGATTGATAAGGTAACAACCTTCTGAAGTGTTGCTTTCCAACTAACTGTTGTGCCAAACATAGTGAACACATATGCAGAAATAGACTTTCTAGAATCCATATAACCTGCATAATCAGAGTCGACATATCCTTCGATTGCTGCTTTACTATCTTCACCCAAGGTTCCACCATAAATTAGGATTTTGTTCAGAGACTCATTTATGTACCTTAGAATCCATTTAAATGCTTGCTAGTGAGCCTTTCTAGGATTCGCCATGTACCTGCTTACAAGACTTACTGTATATGCTATGTTGGGTCTAGTACAAACCATAGCATACATCAAAGAACCCACTATATTAGCATATGGAATGCTATTCATATAAGCTCTTTCGACATCAGTATTGGGATAATGATCTATACTCAACTTGAACTAAGGGTTGTAGAAGTCACAACAGGTTTTTAATTCGACATACCAAACTTTTCGAGAATCTTCCGTAGGTATGCCTCTTGAGATAAGCATAATTTCAAATGCTTTCTATCTCTTCGAATGTTAATCCCAAGAATCTTGGACGCAGCTCCTACATCCTTCATGTAGAACTCCTTATTGAGTTTAGTTTGCACCCTTATTGTTGCGGTGAAATTTGGATATCAAGCTATTGATTAACTTGAATCTTAATTCATTTACAACCGGTCTTTGATTTATCCGAAGGAAAGGTTAAAGAAAGGAAAAACCTAAAAGGGAGAGATCTAAGGTTCGGGGGTTGGTTAAATTTAGGGAAGGTATTAGCACCCTAAACTTCCGTAGTATTCTACGGGAACCTTTTGTTTATTTTTTTTATTTATTTCATTAATTATTTTGCTTTAGGGTATATACAAAGGATTGAAAATTAAAAAAGACCTAGGGGTTAATTCTAAGTTTACTCGGCAAGACATCGCATCTTGTGCCTACATATCCTTATGGGAATGGAATCAGAGTAACTGTAGTTCCCCTCAAAAGGGAGGTTAGAAACGTCTTGACAGTGGCCAAGGTTTGTTCAGAGACTCCAATCTCTATGTTAAAAAAATGTTAATTAAAATTAAAATAGGGTTAAATTAGGGATTCCACGGCGGAAAACCTTAAAAACAGAGTACGACGACTCTTTTGGCCTAACACTAGGATAAAAGCAATTTTGCCCACGGCGGGACACCTAGGCTAAACAGGGTTTGATCCATTAAAGGGGTAAGGCTATTGACTCGGCGGCCAAAAGGCTGGACCTAATCCTTCAGAAGGATAAAACTGTAAAAAAATGTGAAAATATGACAAATCATTATATGGAGGAATAATTAAGGTACAGAAATAAGAAAAGTAATAAAGGCAGAGGGTATAAAGAAACAAAGAAACATTTCTGAAAACATGAAGAATATGAAAATATGTAATGACACTTAGAATGAAGTGAGGGAGTAAAATAGTGTGGGGTTGTGGCCACCACAAGCACATCTCAACCTCGAGCATGCACATGAAATGCGACGACAAATCTTAGGGAAAAATTTGGGGTATTACAGTTGCCCCTATTTAAATAACTTCACCGGGTGATTTGAGCAACGGAGACTCAAGAAATCGTGGTAGAGGGATTTAAATACAGATAACCGAAAATTTTGCCTTTAGACGCAGTGCTATGCAATGATATGGACAAAACAAAACGAACTATAATGCTAAATATAATATGAATCTGATATGATGCGTATGATGAAAATGACAAATGCACGGATACAGACGAAACAACGTCACAGGGGACGACCCATCGAGGAATTGCACTAGGGAAGAAGACATGTCATATCTGGAAGAACGTCGGATAGACACGACACAAAATTGTTGATAGGTGCCAAGTAAATTAGAAATTGTCTGCAAGGTAAGACGCGGGTAAAACACGAGCTCAGGAGAAAAACGCAAATGGGGATAAAACACCCATGATGCCAAGTAAATAAATTTTGCCCACAAGGTAAGACGCGAGTAAAACACGACCTCAGGGAAAAAAAAAGTAAATGGGGGTAAAACACCATGATGTTAGGTAAACCCAGGAATATTTGGTAAACGGGGAATAAAACACCCGGGATAAAGGTACATGGGGGATAAAACACCCAAGGATAGAAGGTAAGTGAGGAGTAAAGCACCCAAGATAGAAATGTAAATGGGGAGTAAAGCACCCAGGATAGAAATGTAAATGGGGAGTAAAACACCCAGGATAGAAATGTAAATGGCGAGTAAAGCACCCAAGATAAAAATGTAAATGGGGAGTAAAGCACCCAAGATAGAGAGGTAAATGGGGAATAAAGCACCCAAGATAGAAATGTAAATGGGGAGTAAAGCACCCAAGATAGAAATGTAAATGGGGAATAAAGCACCCAAGATATGCACATGTATAGGAATTATGCTATGACATATGATCAAATGCAAATGCAGACGTCGACGACAAGGCTCGACTCTTTCGGTGAGATGACAAAACTGGAGGACTGATTCCTCAACACGGAGATCACTGTCATTCTGTTAAACTGTATCAAGTTGATAGTCACTGTAGGAATGATGAATAACTGCTTAGGGATTATGCAAGTAAACTGCCCCAGGTCAAATGAACTGATAATTGCTTCAGCTGTCTAATTCATGGAATCGACTGTTTTGTTGTATCCTCGGAGGGCTTGCCCCAGTCTGGGTCTTGAACAATTCTCTGGATAAACCAAATCTGAGAAGATATTGCCTTGAACAAATCTTGAACTAATTCTTTGACAGAATGTAAAAGGAACT